TTTGGATAGGCACGTGCAACAACCACTTCAACAGATGATTGATTATCTACGGGGAAATGTAGGTGACATTGACATTTTGGATTATGCAGTTGAGGGTGAAGACGGTGGTGAATCAGATGAAGAGTTCCTCTAATCCTGTTTTATAAAATAAATACCCTTTTTACTACTCTCCACTCCCTATTGTCGTCTTGAGTTAAATGTTCTTGCCTGGCATGAATCTGCATCCCTTTTTTTTTTCTTTTTTATGTGTAAAGTTATGCTAGAATTGCTTGAATTTTTATGCTCAACTCTCTCACTCGATTCCCAATTGTTTAAGATTTCTATTTGGTAGAGGTTGTACTTCATCTTGTCCTGTATTGTATCACTTGGTGTGTGTTCTTCACACGCTTTAAGTGGTGTGTTTAGATCCCCACTGAATTTTTGTACCAAGTAAGAAAATGTCAGCCGCTTGGTGTTATGCATATATCCACACCTTCATCTGATTTTGATTGAAATCTAAATGTTCCTCAAAAAGTATTACAATCTGAGCTTTTTTAAAAAACTTTTCTATTAATCATATTTATTTAGCAGTCTGCTCTAATAAAATTCACCATGATAAGCTTTGTGAAAAATTTAAAAAACTTTTTAAGGGGCAACTTGCTAGAAATAGCATTTTATAAATTAACAAATGACAACGTGATGTTCTATTCATGATCAAACCAGAAGTTGGATAAATTCTAGGCTTACACTAGTTGGCACTTGAGCACAGAAACTCAAGTAGATTATTTAACTGACAATGAAAGCATATCACTGAGCAAAAACAAGGACTGTTCATGGTGTCTTGGTCTTCGGTTGAGAAGGAAGTAACTGCAAACACACGGCAGAATTTTTCATCAGCAGATCATCATTCAAAATTCAAACACCCACAAGGTTAGCATTTGTCAGTATAAGATTAGAACCTAGGATCTACGAAACATCACCCCATACATTCACCTGATTTAATGCAAGGGGGTTATAAACACTTCATTGTGTGATAAAATGAACTTAAAACCCATCTCTTTTGACAAAAATAACAGCTTGCTTCCATAAATCTATTTCTCTTCTCAAATTGAGAAATTAGGCTAAAATTTTAATTTGATTGGGCAAGAAAGTCCCCCCCCCTCCATTTCCCTCAAACCAAACATACCCTAAATCTCTTAACATACCCCTAAAAGAAACAAAATGAACAACAGGGTGAATAAAGATGGCAATAGGTAGCTCTGTCAAACCTGACTTGTGGAAGTGTAAGCAATGAATATCCCTTAACATCTGTGTAAATGTCGAGTACAATAACAGCTAAACGAGAAAGCCCCAGTGCCTCTATGTCAATCAACTTTTTAATCCTGAAATTGGAATGTATTAATCAGATGAAAGTTAACAGGAAACAAGCAGAACATTTAATGGCATTACATAGCATTGCCACCTTAGATCGTTAAATGACCAGGAAAAGATGTGATCATCCGAGTATTGCAATTAGAAAAGGAACCTAATTAGGATTTCTTTTCATACTACCAATTATTATTATATTTCTCATATTTTACCTTTCACAGAATTGCTCATCCTCTTTATCCTTTACTAATTTAATTTCAGACTAATAAGTTACTACACATACTGGTGAAGTACTGAGGTTTGATGGCTAACCTGCTTGGCGTACCACTAGCAATATTAACTCTGTTCTTTAACAAAGATACCTGCAGTGAAAATAAGTTGAATGAATAAGCATTAATGTACAAAAATAAAACTTAACTAGAGGCCTTGCAAATACCATAACCATATATCACACAAGCTCACAATTAAGGGAGTGAAATGGTAATTTGCAAAGTGATTGTTTATACATACAAGTTTCAAGAAAAATTTAACAGTCAAAATGATCTCACAAAAAATTAATAACATTAATAGCATAGGAAATGGCAAAAGGATCCATCTCATCCCCAAATAGCCAGTAAATAATCAAGGGTGGACAAAAGTAATACTACCGCATGCAAAGACAGGTTTTATATTTATTAATTTATTATATATATGAGTTGGGAAAAAGCAGGTAAAAAAAATCAGAGAATTTGGGATCAGACTGACGTGCAAAATAAATATTCAGCAGAGCTTCTTGCCTCTGATAATCTGTTAAAATACTCATCATTTCCCAAACTCCATAGTTGAAAATAAGACCATTCATTACTTGCAATCATATTTTCTATTAATCTAAAAAGAAGAATGACTAAGTGAAAATTTTCATACTCATCATAAAATACTGTACAACAGTTGTTACTTCATATGTACTTATTGACTATCAAGGCAGACAATAAAAGATTATGATAACAATCCCATTAACATAAATACTATTTAATAAAAAACAAAGCAAGGATCAAGCCACATCACAACACATGAATCCATGAGAGATAAACAAATTAGAAGTATCATATTACACGCATAGAAGCTGGCTGATTAATTTGATCAAATAGAAACAGTAGTAAAAAATTGTAAGGATCTGGGATCAGACTGACGTGCAAAATCATTATTCAGCAAAGCTGCTGCCTCTGGTGATTGTTAAAACATTCACATCATATCCCAAAATCCTCACTTACTGACAATCTTAGTTGTGTTATACCCACCAATCTCATTATAGAGACTTTATCATTATAATTGTTTAAAAATAATACAAATGAGTATACAAGTAGCAGCAACGAGCTGCACTGATATAGAAGAAACATTTTATTGATATAATGAGGAAAAAAAAAGG